TTTTTTTCTGTCAAACATGGATTAGCGTAAAATCGCACCCCTCCCGAAGAGGAACCATCCTCAGAAGAGACCAAATAACTTCACCTAGTGGTCAGCTGACAAATCTTCATAAAACTGCATAGTTACGGACAGTTCCATGCATAAGAGTAAAATATGTTATGTGTTGGTAACTTGGAGCCGAATGATAATAAACTATGAATGCAAAAAAATATGGACATTCAAGATAAAGGAACCAACCTTATATAGCTGTGAACCACCAATTACGAATATTCGGTCGGCATCACAGCTCAGCTGTTGTTCCAATAAGTCCATACAGGCTGTTAGATTAGGCAACACAAAGACACCCGGGGGTGCGCTAGACAGCGCTGGTTCAAAGGATCATGGAAACCTACGAAGCAAGTGTAGAAGAGATGACTATGTTTATTCTGTCCTGGAGTGGTCGAAATTTTTCGGGTATGGAGTTCCATGTGTTCCGCCCCATAATCACAACATTCTTGAGGCCTACGGGTGAGATTAATGGAAACAAAGATGAAATACCTGGCTTTGCTTCAGTTGTCAACTTCTTGAAGAAAGCCATATCCTTCCTGCCAAGAAAAATGTGGTGCGCATGACAATGGATGTCCGAAAGACAAAAGAGTAGGTATGGTCACCAGAAGACAAGTTAAAGTAATCAACCTGACATAGTAACACTAAAAAAGCACGTATTTCTGACTAGTCCAAAAGTCCTGGGTCGGGGCCCTGCCGTATCCTTTACAGAGTGTAGTACCAGGGTCTTTTTCCAGCGCATAGTCGCGTAAAACAGTTGGCAATATATGGAAAATTTTCGTATGCCATCAAGCTCAACGCCTCTCGATATAAGAAGCGGTGGCCGTTTGTAGTGTCGACATATGCCCCAACAGACTGATGTTTTGACGCTGAGAAGGATACTTCCTATCGAGAGTAATCCGGTTCATTCGTCGAACAGAAATCATTGACACTGTGATATTTGCGGGTGAAAAGAATGCCCACGTTGGTCGTCTGAAACCTTGTAGGTCACATCTGGGAGATCAATTCGGAGTCAAGGCTCGTCGCACAAAGAACGGAGAGCGACTCCTCCAGCTGACAATCAACTGTTTCCAGCCAGTACAAACGTACGCCTCACGTAACCTGGAGGCCACCAAGTGCAAAACAACCGTGCACCCAGTTGGATCACGTAGCCAAATGCCACCGGTGGACAGCCACAATTCAAGACTGCCGTTCCTTCTGGGGAACACAACTTGATTCCCGTCACGCCATGGTGTGAGAACGCCTGATAGTTCCCTTCCCTTTAGGCACTCCAAAGTTAGCGAGAAACATACCAATTCACCATCTTCTAAGAACTACCGCAGCTTAACGCAATTAATATGAGCCTGCTCAACTACTAGCTACGCAAACCCAAAGTGTACTGGTAGCGGGCACATTGAGGAAGCATGGCGAAATGTGAAAGGAGCTATGCTAAGGGTTTTCAGTGCTGTCTGTCCAACTTCTTCGACAAAATCGAATGACCACTGGAAATCGTCGAGACTGCTAGTGCCGATCGATGCGAGTGAATTTATACCATTATACTCATCATCATCATCATCATCATCATCATCATCATCATCATCATCATCATCATCATCACCGTCATCATCGACAGCATGAAATCAGTCTTCAACACTGATGCTTCGCTGCCGTACAACCTTGAGTTATTTGAAAGCCTTACTGTGAAGAAAAGAATAAAGGTGAACTGGGAAGGGACTTAGTGTTGGCTTACTACAATCATTCCGAGGTGCCTACACCTCCAAACACTTCATTCATTCGGACAATCTGAACAGAAACTGACAACAAGATCGCCACTGACATCGGTTGGCAGCCATACCTTGCAGTGTCTCCAACCAGACACAGTGGGGATCACGCAGTCCCCATCCTGGAAGGCGAGCAGCACCGACAGCACCCAAACGTTTAGTGATTTCCTTCATGCCCCTCTGCCAGGTCAAGGGTTGGCCACCCCATGAACCGCACATATACAAATGAATTCGTAAAAGCAAACAACGAGTATGACGACATACAAATCCCTCAAACGCCAAATGGTGAAGAAACTAAGGAAAAACCGAGAGCTCTGGTGGAAACCAAAATCCCAGGAGATGGAGAATGCTTTTGCTACCAGAAACAGCCGTGCACTGTACCAATTGATACAATCCACTGGCCAAAAGAAATCAACGGTTAGTAAAACGATGGATGAAACGGGCGGCTCATTAATTCACTCGCAAAAACGCCTACTGGAAGGATGGGCCGAATAATTAGAAGGACGGTTTTAGCTGGTCTCTTGCAACACAGCCTCCGGAGGCAGGTCATACGGGCAAGTAGAGTGTGAACCTCAATCGCCCTTCAGAAGAAGAAACAAAATACGAGATATCCGGAATAAAACGTGAGAAAGCCCAAAGACCGGACGGTCGCTATCCAGACCTCTTCAAAGAAGGCGGAGAATCTCTGGTGACCCACTTGGCAAAACTTATTGGTGCTATATTGAGCGAAGAGAAGGTGCCTGCAGAATGGGGCATGTCGACAAATATCCCTATCCTCAAAAAGGGAACGAAAACATTGCGTAAAAACTACCGTGGCATCAGCCTGTTAGCTATGCCACCGAAGGTGCCCTCTGGTCTTATCCTCCGAAGGTTGACTGAACATAGGGGGAGAGATCCGTGAAAAACAAGCTAGGTTCCCTGCTGCAAGAGGATTCTCGATCACATTTGCACTTCCTATCAGATTCTGGAATAGCAACACTGCTTCCAGCAACCAAGAATGGTGGTCTTTCTTGGATTAAATCCGTATTTGGTTATGTGGACCGTCAGGTACTATGGCAGCGCCTATAGAGCAAAGGAGTCCCCATTAGGTTCTTGACCCTCTTTAAAGCGTTGTACACCAACCCTTGTGTACGTGTGAAGGTCCACGGGATGCTTTCGCCTGAGTTCGCTACAGTAAGTGGTGACAGACAAGGTAGTCCTCTTTCACCCTTCCTTTTCAGCTTCATCAATGATGTGATTATGGAACACTTATTTTCAGCCTTTATGCCTGTGAGGTCGAAATGCTCCCACGGCATTCGCTCACCCATATCGAGTATACAGACATAGCCCTCCTTGGTGCTGGTACCGTCGTGATGCAAAAATATTAAATAGCTTAACTCTGCCTCACAGTTCGAAATGCGCTTCAAACTTGCAAAGTGTAAAGTGCTGCTGCAAGACTGGGTTCGATCCTTAACCTTATGTTTGCGGATGAGCCGATTGAGGTCGTGGACAAATTGGTCTACCTGGGAAGCTTTATCAGTCAGTTGTCTGGCAAAAGATGATATTTCCATCCGGACTGGGAAGGCCAGTGCAGCTTTCGTGAATTTAAATCACCTATGGCATCCGGTTATATCCATCAATGGTCGAGTGTATAATGCTGCGGTGCACTCCATATTATTATACGGGTCAAAAACCTGGCCAATATGTGCAGAGGACGTGAAAAGACTTTCAGTGTATGATCATCGACGCCTTCGGAGTATTCCCTGAATCTGGCGGTGGCACCGGATCAGTAATGCTGAAGCAAGTCGTACGGTTTTCGGAAGGAATAACTCTCCCGCGATAGGTAAACTGATCACACTCTACAGGTTGCGCTGGCTTGGTCATTTGCCACATACGTCAGTCGATCGACTTTCCTGAAGAGCCTTTTTTGCACAACTGCGCGGAAAAAATTGTGCACAAATACGCGAGCCATCACGAAGAGACTGGACCCCACAGTGGTGTGACGGGTGGACACATCTAAACGACCCATTGAGCTATACTGAGGGGTGTCCCTGAGACACTCAGAGTCTCTCATACCAGGTTGGTCGATGGTTAGAGGTCTGACGAGTGCAGTCTCCTGGTCCTCCAAGTTGAGGATTTGGACATGTGGCGGCCCGTTCCGTAGAAATGGTATTGCAGTTGCATTTCCCGCCAAACACCGCTGCCTTACGACTAGGCTTTTGAGCCAAAGGCTTTATTTGAGGACCCTAATCGTCCTCCTGTCTAGGTGTGGGTGCGCTGTCAGTATCCCAGCCCACGTATAACCATGAACTGCACATATACAAATAAACTCATTCCACATCGGCCGTCGCGTGGTGCCACCAGCCTGGCCGCCTTACTCGCTGCATACAGCAGGCCGGGTAAGCGAAAACAGGCTACTGCTGATGCCTCCCTTCTTCCTCTTTCACATACTTTTCCTTCTCCCTCTCCCCATTCCATTAGTAACTCTGTTGTTGTAGGCCGAACACTTATGACTTGCATCGGGTTTGCATGCAGCATCCGCTGTGTGCACCTGTGAGTGAAACCATCAAGCATCAGAATGGAACAACCATCTCGAATAAAAAAAATGTCGACCGGTGGGCTGAATACTTCAAACAACTGTCGTGGCCACCAGCTGGCACTCTTCTAGAGCCCACAGGTGACGTAGAACCCTGGACGATGAACGTGGAACCATCTACACCCTAGGAGGTTTACGACTGCATATGTTCTCTCAAGCGCCACCGAGCTCCTGGTCCGGATGACCTCCCAACCGCACTGTTCAAAGACGGGGGTGAAGTCCTCAGTCAGCGCCTGTCCGACTTGTTTGCTTGCATTTGGGAAAAGGAGTCTGTCCCAGACAACTGGGGAG